TATTAATAAGCCGAGCCTTCTGCCTGAGGCTGTGAGGAGCTGCTCCTCTGGGGAGTCTGAGCAGTCTCTGTGCAACGCTGCTTGTGTGCAGGAGGAGACGATGGCTGGGGTAAGAATGGGGTGGCGGGTTCCCTCTCCCAGCTGCTACTGGCTCTGTGTTTTTTGCAATATGTCCTCTACTACCAGCCAGAATGTGACTCTGGCGGGCTGATCCACACGTTCCATGATGGGGCTTAGTGATCAGACAACAGAGAAATAAGGCAAAAGTTGTAAAGTAAACGTGTTGTATCAACTAGTGTCACTGCTTAGTACATGGTTAGCAGGACACATCTCTAGATTATGTATTTAACAGTCCGTTCAAATTAGCAATACCTGGGACATGGCAGGCAGTGATACCAAGGCAATTAATGCTCCACTCAACAACTTCCCATTGAAGACCTACCAGAGAGACCTAGAAATATTTGCTGGTTGTTCAGTTAATGCCTTAACATGGGATAATGTCATTTTAGCATGGAACATACCTACCTGTCTAAACAAGTCGTGTTTCTAGGGGTTGCCGACCTATCACTACCTGGAGCTTTGATGTTGTTGCTGAAGTGATGGAGAAGAGTAAAATGTAGTGCTGAAAAATGACTAGGGCTACGTCTACACTGGCCCCTTTTCCGGAAGGGGCATGTAAATTTCACTAGTCGTCGTAGGGAAATCCGCGGGGGATTTAAATATCCCCCGCGGCATTTAAATAAAAATGTCCGCCGCTTTTTTCCGGCTTTTAAAAAAGCCGGAAAAGAGCGTCTAGACTGGCCCCGATCCTCCGGAAAAAGCGCCCTTTTCCGGAGGGTCTTATTCCTACTTTGAAGTAGGAATAAGACCCTGACTAAACAGACCCAACTCCCTCAGCCTCTCCTCATAGGTCATAAAGAGCCTCCGGAAAAGGGCACTTTTTCCGGAGGATCGGGGCCAGTCTAGACGCTCTTTTCCGGCTTTTTTAAAAGCCGGAAAAAAGCGGCGGACATTTTTATTTAAATGCCGCGGGGGATATTTAAATCCCCCGCGGATTTCCCTACGACGACTAGTGAAATTTACATGCCCCTTCCGGAAAAGGGGCCAGTGTAGACGTAGCCTAGGTGAAAAACAGACTAAAGCAGCTCATGGCCTGGTGTGTGTTGAGCTGTCCTGGCTTGCTTCAGTGCCATTTTACTCCTGGGAACCCAACAGACCTAAGGGTGTGTTATCACTTCAGAGTTCTTCCTGACTCTTACCCTACGACGACTAGTGAAATTTACATGCCCCTTCCGGAAAAGGGGCCAGTGTAGACGTAGCCTAGGTGAAAAACAGACTAAAGCAGCTCATGGCCTGGTGTGTGTTGAGCTGTCCTGGCTTGCTTCAGTGCCATTTTACTCCTGGGAACCCAACAGACCTAAGGGTGTGTTATCACTTCAGAGTTCTTCCTGACTCTTACCTGGATTTTTGCCTAACCCCGTCAATGCTCGCCCCCTCCCCCCCCCCAAACCTGGACTGGCTTCCCTAGCTGAGCATAGATTAAAACCTAGACTCCCCTTTAATTGGGCTGGAACCTGACCCCCTTTGCAGTGTGGATACAAGTTATGCCCATGGCTACACATGGGCAGGTGGACAAAGAGAAAGATCACCTGCAGTCAGGCTAGGCTGACCTAGGAGCTTAGGTCTGGATGCCAGTCACCAGGGCTAGCTGCAGTGACCATCTGCCCTTGGAGGGTCTGAGATGGATTCTCTTCCTCCTTGTGCATCAACAGATTTTGCTACTAAGTTCCAGTTAGCTACAACTGTGTAAACCTAATGAAAGGCTGGAGGGGAGACCGGTAATACCGAAGCATTCATATGGAGTCAGTGAGGCTGTGTGGAGGCTGCTAGGGAACTTTCCCTTCTCCTCCTCTTCCCCTTGTTCTTGTCACACAGTCACAAAAAGCAGACGACTAGAAGGCCGAAGTGCAGGCAATGTGATGTTTATTGGGGTTAGCTTCAAGCAACTATATCCCTAGTGTCGAAACGAGCCTTACACTCAGTAAAAGGTACGGAGAATAGTTTTATTTAGAAATGCTGCAACATAGCAAGAACCCACCAAAGTATTGCTTAGAATACAACTACAACTCCTCTTATAGTAGGAGCTACATAACAAACTATCACTCTGCGCATGCTTGTTACTGGGCAAACTTTCTGCATTATTACATTCTCTTTCATGATAAAATGTTTCACTTTCTCACATTTTCAAACTACGTGACCTTCTCGCCTACATGAAATGGCAGCTATTTACACAATGGATTCCACACTAGCGCTACACGCCGGTGCAGTATGTTTCCAAGTATCTTCCTTCCCGGCCCTGATGCCACAGAGCCTTGCCTGTGTCCCCCTTCTCTTTCCCACCTCCTCCTCCTTAGCAGGCCCAAATGTACCTGCCGTGCATGTCCCAGTCCCATCCCTTACAACAGTGGTGGGCAATCTGCAGCCCATTGGGGTTTCATGTGTTGCCCACCAGACATTTTGTTCACTGTTGCCCACACTCAATGTTCCAGATTCTTCTGGTTTCTGTCCACATAATTTTTTTCCCTACCAGTATTACAAAAGTGACACGTATGTAAAGCAAGGGCATGTGAAGTGAGGTGCCTGCTGATTGCACGCTGCATTGTGAGAGCCATGTGCTCCCTCTGCTTCCAAAGTGCTGTTACAATGCAAGCTGCACTCCCCGCAAATTCTAGGTGTGCAAGCGCAGTTGGCACAACTACCCTCTTCTGGGAGACTGGCTTTATTACAACAATCTTGCAGCCCACTGAGATGAAGCAGGGCCACTTATGAGGTCCGCTCGTTAGTCTACTTTGCCCAGCACTGCCTTACAACTTATGCTCATGTTCCATTTTGGAGGGGTGGGAGTCTGGAGTCTTTGTTCCACCCTCTTTGTATCCGGGCGGTGAAAAGAGTGAGGTTGTGCTCTGGATAAGGCCGGGACTTTTGGGGGCTTTTAGGGTTTCTTACGTTTCTACCCTCCCCAGTTCCTTTTGCCTATCCTAACTGGTTGCTTGACCTTTGCTTGAGAGAAAAGCCAGGCAGCCTTTCACTGTACGTTCCTATTTCACACTCCCACCAAACCCTGTAACATTTTCGTTCTAGCCCTTAGCCCTTCCCATTGTACTATCACCACCAGCTGGCCAGACAGAAGCAATGCACACATGGTCTTTGTTCGTTGTTCTTCACACATAATAGTATAAAAGTATCCAAAAGTCATACCCAAAATGCAATTGCTGGCTGCACGAGAACCTACAGGATCTCCGGGCCCCTAGGCAATCTGTGTGTGTGGAGGGGGATTGCTCCATGCTCCCAGAAGGGGCAAGGCCTCAGGCAGAATGGGCAGGGTTGGGGCAGCCAGCCACCAGTGCTTTTTGGATTGTATGATGTTCCCTCCTCTCCCCACCTGCCCTCAGAGGTAGCCAGAGCGCACAGCCCAGGGCTCTGGAGCATGCTGCGTGGTGGTCCGGCAGTGATTCTAAAGAGCCTGGGGTTCCAGCCACCACCACTAATGCAACAGAGGTGGTGGCCCGGAGCTCTCGGCCTTTTAGAATCACAGGGCCCCAGGGCAATTGCCTCCTTTACCCACCCTTGTTGGCAGGCCTGGCCGGCTGACCAAAAAGCCTGTACGCTAACAGAAGTGAAGGCCCAACTTGACTGGCACAACGCTCATTGCCAGTGATGTGTGAAAAGGCAAAAACACAGCTTGACTTTCGGGTCTCAGCCTAGAAGGGCTGGTGCATAGGAACACGTGCTTTATCACTGTCAGCTGGGCTATCACCTCTGAGCTGCAGGCCTTTGAGGCCCAATAAACGTGAGCCACACTGATGCTAGTATTACATTGTTCATCCCTTTTTGGAATAGAACCAGCCATTAAAGGCTTTCTCCCTAACCAGCTATGGGACTGAGCAGAGGCTGCAAAAATCTGAGAATTGCCACTCCCGTTGATTCTTGGGAGATCACATAGCTTGGCAATAACAAAATACAGGACTATGTAGCACTTTAAAGACTAACAAGATAGTTTATTAGATGATGAGCTTTCGTGGGCCAGACCCACTTCCTCAGATCAAATAGTGGAAGAAAATAGTCACAGCCATATATACCAAAGGATACAATTAAAAAAAAGTGAACACCTATGAAAAGGACAAATCACATTTCAGAACAGAAGGGGGATGCGGGGGGGGGTGGGAGGTGAATGCCTGTGAATTAATGATATTAGAGGTGGGGAAGGGTAGATGTCTGTGAGTTAATAGTGTTAGAGGTGATAATTAGGGAAGCTATCTTTGTAATGGGTAAGATAGCTGGAGTCTTTGTTCAGGCCTCCGCGGAGAGTGTCAAATTTTAGCATGAATGCCAGTTCAGAGGATTCCCTTTCAAGTGCAGATTTGAATGTCTTCTGAAGTAGGATGCAGGTTAGCAGGTCATTCAGACAGTGTCCTTTCTGGTTGAAATGGCAAGCAACTGTTTTTTCTTTGTGATCCTGTCTAATGTCTGTTTTGTGGGCATTGATTCTTTGGCGAAGTGTCTGAGATGTTTGTCCAATGTACATAGCAAACAGACACTTTCAGCACATAATAGCATAGATTACATTTCTGGAGGCGCAGGAATATGTATTCTTGATCTTATAACTCACTTGGTTAGACCCAATAATGGTGTCAGCAGAGCGAATATGTGGACAAAGCTGACAACGGGGTTTGTTGCAAGGGAAAGTACCAGGGTTGGTATTAGTGTGGTATGTCCTGTGGTTGTTGGTAAGAATCATCTTGAGGTTAGGTAGTTGTCTATAGGAGACTATGGGTCTGTCTCCCAGAGCTTGGCAATAGGCTTTCCAGACTTCCCTAGCTCCCTGTGCAGCATTATTGTTGTTGCTAGCTATAAACAAGAAGCTAAAAAAGCCCACATGCTTAATTGCTCAGCTCTCTTAAAACACTAGCAGACAGATGTCTTTATGTTTTCATTCACAGGAGGAAACCGAATGCCCGTCTTCTCTGTCTGTAATCAAAGACAGGACAGGAGGTGAAAACCTGGAGGAGCAATTCTTCCCACCTGATGACCTCTCTTCGGATGAAGAATATTACATAGAAGAAGGCAGAGCATCCAGATTTAAAAAATCAGGCATGAGACGCATAGATAACATCAAAAAGGCATTTTCAAGGGAAAATATCCAGAAGACCAGACAAAATTTTGGCAAGAAGGTGGACAGACTGCGAACTAGAATAGTGACACCAGAGAGGAGAGAGCGAATAAGGCAGTCAGGAGAGAGGCTGAAACAATCAGGGATACGGTTCAAGAAAACTATTTCACAAGCAGCACCAACAAAGGAGACATTCAAGCTCAATAAGAAAGCTAAAGAACGAACAGTAGCTGAAGGACAAGAAGGAATCCAGGAAGCCGGCGTGCATGCAGTCTCAGCGAGTGGGGCCGAAGAACCAGTGACAGAAGAGATCTCCTACACAGAAGTGATCACTAAAGTAAAGAAGGACAAAGGCAGCGGAAGAAAAGGTGCTTCTCCGCCAACAGAGAAAGTCGTGCTCACCCCTGAAAAAATTGCTCTTAAACAGGAGGCAAAGGAGGAAGGAGGTGATAACATTCTTCTGTTGGACCTCAAGCAACCAGCATAAATGATCAAGTAGAGTATTCTGTGTTATAATATGAGAGACCCATAGTACTTGTTTACTTGGGCAGATTGAGAGTTGTGTGTAACTTCTGATTGTTATAGCAGAAAAATATATTGGTGCTGTTTTAATGTGTGTACGTGCCACAGACAATGTGTTTGTTGCCTTTTTATTACTAGGCAAAGTCACATAAAGAGAATGAAGGGTCTCATCTCTCTTGATGTGGACATGTAACTTCAATGAATGCGATTGGGAGTCACATTTGCACATCACTGGGAGATGGAAACCCCTTGTATATTTTAAAACAAAAGGAAAAGGCACATAATAGCCTTCCTGCTCTCGTAAGTTTTATGCACAGTGGCATCCGAAGAACAGCTCCATTTATCTCATGCCAGCATCAAAAA